TTCCATTCCATTCCATTCCATTCCATTCCATTCCATTCCATTCCATTCTATTCTATTCTATTCTATTCTATTCTATTCTATTCATGGGATCCCCTTTTAAAACCTTCTGAGAAGCAGAGTCACTGCAGAAGCCAGATTCACTTAACCCTAGTAACTTAACAAAGTGCACTTAACAACTGTGGCAGTGATTCACTTAGAAAATGTGGCAAGGAAAGTCATAAAATGGGGCAAAACCAATTTCTCACTTAGCAAAATAATGGCGAGGTCAATTGTGGTCATACATTGAGGACTACCAACAATCTTTCCTATCTGTAGTGGTCTTAAAGAAGAAAATGTCGACCATTTGCATGCAGCAAGAAATGGAAAAACCTGCTGCAAGTATCTTTATATCATTGTGTTTCACCAGGTACAACTCAGATGTGTCCATAAGAGACAAATGCAAATTAAAGGCAAGAGCTGATCATATTACCATTTTATAGTTATGGAACAAGGCCCACTGTAAGCCCATGTTCTCTGGCTGGAATGTTGTTTTTTGTCTCAGAATGGAGATTTGCTACCTTTCAACATCAAGATATCTGACTTCCCTTCAACTGTTCCTTACTACATCAGCATAATTTAAGAGTGGAAAGAACTATGTTGCTGATGCTGTTTTTGAACCACACTTCAAAAAAGGCTGCATTCCTAGAGGAAATGGAGCTGTTTCCTAAATAAATCACACAGAAGCTCATGCAGGGAACAAAATCTCATTTGGGATTTTCAAAATCATTTGAGATTTTTCAAAATCATTAGAGATTCTGTAGCCAATCAGAATGACAATTATTATAGCCAGATTGGCTGTGTAGCCAAACAGAATGAGGATTAAAGAATTAAAGTTGAAGTCAAAGTTGAGAATTAGAGAACTAAAGCTGAGGATGCAGCAAATGAAGAGGCATAGTGAACTTTGCAGGGACAAAAAGGAAATTCATTTTTCAGGACTTTTAGAATTCATCATGGCAAACGCTAAAGGCTAATTTAAGAGAATAAGGTCACCATCATTTTACAAGATTATATAGACTAGATGTTTTAGTATGAGGTTGTTAACATCATTTTGAACACAATGCCAAAAAAGAAAAATAAAGCAGCTAGAACTTTGCTACCCATTGTAAAATAGTGGTCATCTGTTAAATTAAGCACCAATGTCCTGTTTAACGTACTGTATATGAACTTTGAGTTACTTTAATATGAAAATTAGACTGAAGACAAAAATTCCAAGAGGTTGGAGATATAAATGTAAGTACTGCCACATCCATTTGAGTTGCATTAAAACGGGAACATCTATTTACAAATAGTAAGGAATCTGATTTAAAAAAAGGTTCTTTGTGGGTCCCCCCCCCTAAATGGCCCTATTGATAAGTGCGTAAGCTTAACAAACAAATGATAGACTAGAAGTCAATCCTAAATTGCATTAACAGAGGGACACAATCAAGATCAAGTGAGGTACTAATACCACTCTATAAAGCCTTAGTAAGGCCAGACCTATAATACTGCATCCGGTTTTTGTCACCATATTATAAAAAAGATGTTGAGACTCTAGAAAAAGTACAGAGAAGAGCAACCAAGATGATTAGGGGACTGGAGACTAAAACATACAATGAACAGTTGCAGGAACTGGGCATGGCTAGTCTAGTGAAGAGAAGGACCAGGGAAGGTAGGATAGCAGTTTTCCAATATTTGAAGGGCTGCCACAGAGAGGAAGGGGTCAAGCTATTTTCTAAAGCACCTGAAGGCCAGACAAGGAATAATGAATGGAAACTTATCAAGGAGAGATTTAACCTGGAAATAAGGAGAAATTGTCTGACAGTGAGAACAATCAACCAATGGAACAGAAGTTGCCTTCGGGAGTTGTGGGAGCTTCATCACTTGAGACTTTCAAGAAGAGGTTGTCAGAAATGGTGTATGGTCTCCTGCTTGAGCGTGTGTGTATGTTTGGACTAGATGACCTACAAGACCCCCCCCCAACTCTGTTAATCTGTGAATCTGTGAGTTTCTCTGGCTGAGAAAATGCTAAACCATGAGTAACCTAAGACAAGAGCCAAGAGACTACTGAAATATTTTTTCTTTGCGTTATGCAGTGGATCACAGTGCCCTAGTAATTTAGATAAATGCGCCTTGGCTAATATTCCCAGCATTTGTTTGATGATCTCATGCCTCGATCTGCAAATTGCAGCTTCAAAAATGAAGTTTTTATGTGCGAGGGGCAAGGGACACTTCTTAATGACGTTACCAAATAATCTTAGGAAAGTACAATAAAAATCCTTCTTTAGTGCATTTTAGCGATTCTAAAATTGTGCCCTGCCCCCGATTAAAATTGAGAGAAGGAGAAATATTAATCATGCACTCACCCTAATATTAGAATGGATCTGGAGGCATATTCTACCCATATCTTTTTAGTTATCTTTCCTCCAGTGCTGGCACTCATATTGGTACCTAAGCTTCCAAAAGATTGAATGATATATGACCACAAAGGGAAGCATGGATTACAACTGTTATTTTGAATCCCCAATGCTAAGATGAGGAGTGAAGGATAATATGGACATGCTCTTGTAGAATAACATCTCATCTAACAGGAAGACATATAATACAGATTGATACTGTTGATAAAGATTTTATAGTCAATTGCAGAAGACGTCAGCCATTGTACTTATCAAACTCTTATGATAATACAGATAGTCCTCAACTTACAATGGTTCGTTTAGTGACAATTCAAAGTTACAACAGCTCTGGGAAAAAGTGACTTACGACTTTTTCACACTTACAACCGTTGGTCACACAATTAAAATTCAGACATTTGGTTGACTGACTCATATTTATGACGATTGCCATATCCCTGGGTTACATGATCACCGTTTCTGACAAGCAAAGTCAGAGGGGAGGCCCAATTTACTTAACAACGGTGGCAAGAAAGGTTGTACAATGGAACAAAGCTCACTTAACAATTGTCTCGCTCAGCAACAGGAATTTTGGGCTCACTCGTGGCCATAAGTCAAGGACTACCTGTATTTGAAGAAACATTGCATAAGCCTGCATTTCATCCCACTCAAACTCTCTGGGACCGATTTGTGCAGGCTAAGAACCCAGATCTTCATTTGCATCAACTAAACCAAGGGTCTTCAAGCTTGGCAAGTTTTAAGACTTGTGGACTTCAACTCCCAGAATTCCTGAGCTAACATGACTGGAGAAGGAATTCTGAGAGTTGAAGTCCACACGTCTTAAAGCTGTCAAGTTTGAAGAGCCCTGAACTAAACCACAAGACTGACTTACCAGTTGCCAATATCAAAGGTAGAATTTTGTACTCCTGCCCTCCCCAAAGACTGCAGCTGTTTTGCTAACTGAAGGGTGCACACAACTGCGTTCATGGGGATTGCCTCTGCATCGCAAGAACAACAGCATCTTAAATAACGTCTCTAAAATCCAACCCACAAAAGACGCTGGGTGAAAGTGCAGGTGAGTTTCACCTCACCTGCCGGGATGACTTAGGACACGAATTTCCCTTAGTTACCAAGTATTGACCTGCAGACATTTTTTCCCCCACCAAAACTTCAAATGATTTATCAAAAATTCTATTTTGTCCCCCCCACTGAGGTAGATGTCAATTTGGAGGAAAACAAAACACAACAGAGGAAAAGAGGGAGAGGGGGATTAGTGGTGGTAACCAGTGGTGGGATTCAGCCAGTTCGCACCAGTTCGGGAGAACCGGTTGTTAACTTTCTGAGCAGTTTGGTGAAGTGGTTGTTGGAAGAAATCATTAGGGCAGAGAACCGGTTGTTAAATTATTTGAATCTCACACTGGTGGTAACCCATGCCTTCTAATCTCTCAAACAGGGAAATCAAATGGGGACCTCTTCAAGTTGATTAGTGCCCGTTGGCCTTAAAACTACTCCCTTGCTTGGATATGCCAAGCCTAGTCTGAGTTAAGTTAGTAGTTAGACTAAGTTACAAAGGCTTCTTGGATTGCATGCCAGCCTTTAGTTCACTTCAGCACTCCTGGAGGATACAGAGAGTAGAAGCTGCTGGGGGCTGCGACGAATTGCATTTCTCGAAGGCGACAGGCTTTCCAAGGTAGTCAATGCACAAGGCGCTTCGTGTCCGCATTCCTTCTCCACAGGTTTGGGAACAGGGGGACCATGGTCCCATCTGCCAGATTGGGCAAGGAAGACCACTGCATGGTTTGATGTCCTCGGGCTTGAGGGCCTGGTCACAGGTGGAGGAAGGTTGGCCTTCCACATCCAGACATTCTACTGTTCGTCTTTGCCAACCCGAGCTACAGGACTTGGAGCACTCTGACCAGTCCCCCAGAACCCATTGCGAGGTCAGCAAGGGCTTGATCATGTTGGCCAGGCTTTTCTCCTTGATCTTCTGCTTGCTGAATTGGAGGTCCTTGGGGATAAAAAAGGTGTATTTCACCTTTGGTAGGGGGAATGCCCTGGGGAGGAACATCTCGCTGGAAACGGTCAACACCTGAACCACAATAGCTTCGGGGAGCCTCTGGTAGCTCTGGAGGCGTTCCAGAGTGGTCAGGGAGCCGCTGTACCTCAGGACAGTCCCCTTCACAAAAATGTCTTGTTCCATAGCTGAGACGGTGAAGTTTCCATTCAGGAGGTATTTGCCATCCAGGGTCTGCAGAGCTAAATAATTTCCGTCATGCCTTACTCCTCGTCGGCTGTGTTGCTTGATGTCAATGTTGGTTGCCCCCGCTGGAATGGTGACAACGTCGTTGTAGCCAAACCTACAAGAGATGAGAGAAATGGGTGTTCACTTCAACTAAACAACAGTGTGAACAAACATCTACTAAAAGAACAACCTGTATTGCTCCATGACCAAAAGCATCCTTCTTCTCCTGTATTTTCTCTTTGCTATTGCAAGAGGCTGAAATGCTCTAAATTGCAACTGACCTTGAGATCTCCGAAGACTTAAGAATTAAGAAACAGTAATGAAAATTTCCTATGCTTGCACTACACCATTAAATTCCAGGAATCTCAATGGGGTGAAATGAAACCATTCTCATTCATCCTATTCTGCTGTGTTATTCGAGTGCTTTTTTTGCATTGAGGGTGACTCTTTGCCTTTGAAAGGGGCTACCGGTCCCAAAAATATTCAGGACATACAAATGGTGGAGTCAAAATAAAATGCAAAATGGACATCAATTACATATAAAATACAGCTAATTAAACATGGATACTCTTTTTTCTTTTCTTCTTTTCATGACCCTGTAATCCCTTTTATTGAGGTGGAGTTGGGGCGACTGAATGGAGCTGAGCATTTTCTAGCTGCGTACATTTCGTGATGCCTATGTGAAGTTTGCAGCAGATATTTTCTTCTTGTGCCCTGATAGAAAAACATCTACTGCTGCCTAGGATTGAACTGTCAACCTCCTGATATGAGGCAAGTGTCTGTACCTCTAGGCCACTATAAATATGAATGGTTAATCCTAGTTATTTATTTTTCCCCACCTTTTTTATATTAGCATTGAAATTGCAAAAACAATTTGGAGAAGGTCACATTCTGCTGTAGGAAGGATTTCTGGACTCTGGACACTGGAAGATTTTTGGATTTCTGGATTTTTGCATGTGTGTTCATAAAACTCTATACTCAGCTCTAAATGGGCACTGTGTATTCTTCACCAAGCTTTACAAAACCTTTGTGGCGTTCTCTTACTTGGATTTGTTGACTGAGTCGGATATTTTTCTACAAGTTGAGCCGTCCCCACCACAAACTCCACATTTGTCCAGTTTCTTGGAAGACCCAATAATATGATCACAACCAGCCTTCATGCATTGTCCATGCACACACACAGAGAGTGTATCAGGTGCACATGTTGTCCCGTCAATTACCTGATATAAAAGGAAAGGAAGAATAAAATGAAGTCAATCCACCCATTTATCACTCTTTAGTGTATTTCTAATGGCTTGAAAGACATTCCTTGAAATATATTTCTTACAGATATCTTTAGAATATATCTAAAGATATCTGTAGAAATATGGAGCAAAGCTATTGGTTTCAATTGTGGTCAGTTCTTGTTTTACTAATAATAGTTTCTTTATGTTTCCACTTTTCCATCAATTGATGGATATTTTCATTTACATTTCACACATATTCATTCTTTTGGTTATTACTACTTGTGATCTGCATGTTTTTGGAAAGCGTTTTTTAATATTGTGTCAACAATAGTGCATTATAGGCCCAGCATGCATGATCTATATATAACTCTGTACATCTTCTGCTACAAAATTCTGAAACATGGGTATTAGGCACACGTGGATACATTCAGATGCATTTGGTAAATGTGTGCAAATGTGGCAGATGGATGTAATAATTCTGATGGATGGGGTTTTCATCTATGTCTCAAACTATATATAGATTTTTCTCCCAATTTTATAGGAAACATAGTTTTTCTTCCCAACCAGGAGAACATAGTTTTACTAGCTGGATACCCGTGCTTCGCTATGAAACCATGTGGTTGGGCTTAGTTTTTGAGGAGGAAAATAAAGAAAAGAAATTCTGCCTCTGCCAACCAGCATCCATTGGTATTTAGTTGGCTAGTGTCCAGTCAGTGTGTGAGAGAGTTGAGGTCTGTTTGGAAACTGAAACAGTATTTACTGTGTGAACAAGAAGGAGACAGCAAGGAGCCTGGGCATGGCTTAGCTCAACTGTTTTGTACTAAAGCTGGTTGCTGCTCTCAAACGGAAACTCCTCTCCTCTGCTTGTATTTTACATTTGGAACATATTTCTTTTCAGATGAAAATGGGGAGTAGAACTCCTTAGAATCAGAGCATGTTAATAATAATAATGTATGCAATACTAATGCTCTGATGGTCATTTCAAAAAATCCTTTCTTACTGAGCACTTAGAAGCCAAGAGGAACATACGTGCCAAACTTCAAGTTTATAGGCTTTACGGTTCTGGAGGTTTTGTGATGATGTGTGAGTGGTATTTCACTTTTATATATATAGATTGGTGCCATAGGGAAATTTGGAAAACGTTTAGTAGGCAAGACGTTTTGAAATCTGTAAAAATGACGGATACATGAGCAGAATTCTTACTTACTTTGGTCTCAAAGACTTTGAATTCATTCCCTCTTTTAGCCCGGCAGACTAATTTGCAACGGTCTCGAGGAGGTACTCCGGCATACATGGGGACCCATTCTAGAAAATTACCATTCAAGTCGGTGAAGTTGTATCTGTCATATTTCTCACATTGTTGCTCTCGAAAGCTTTTGTCTACAATGGAAATGAAAGGGACCCCAGGTGAACGTGGATACACACACAACGAAATCTCGTTTTCAACGTTTCATTTTCAGGCCAGTCATTTGTAAAACTTTTGATCTCCCCTCTCTGACCTGAAAGTAATGCAGGAACCTGATTGACAGCCAGCAACACCTGTTGAGTCTATCCTAACTTCGCTTCCACCAAATATAATTTGTATTTACCTGGGAATACATCTGTCTGACATTTCAGCTCCAAAACAACTAATTCTACTGTGTAGATATGCAGCCTGCCTTACCTCATGTCCCCCATGGGCTATGCTGAGTGAGCAGCTCTTGGCATACCGCCGGGAGTCCTCATGTTTTGACTGTAATGGAGCATCCCATCATGGTTGTAACTTATGATAGTCATGAAGTTGGTCGGTCATGTGACTGAGCCAATTTTACAACCTTTTTTTTGCAGTGGTCGTTAGGTTGTTAAGCAAACATCACAACCATCAAACAAATCAATGGTTTGCTATGGGTGCAGACAGAGTTATCGAAAACTGGTCGTGAATTCCGATTCTCAGCAAAACCATTGTAAAATGCGGTCACGTAACTGTGAGATGCTGTAAATGGCCATAAAACATGCTGGATTAACACAACCTTAATGGAGGCATAGGCACCACAAACAGAGGGGGTAAAATTCAGACAACTCTAGCAGATATCCAGTTACCAGGTTATTGCTTTAGAATAGAATACGAATAGAATAGAATGAATGAGCTGGAAGGGACCTTGGAGGTCTTCTAGTCCAGCCCCCTGCTCAAGCAGGAGAACCTATACTATTTCAGATAAGTGACTGTCCAGTTCTCCTCTTAAAAACCTCCAGTGATGGAGCTCCCACGATTTCTGAAGGCAAGCTGATCCACTGGTTAATTGTTCTCACTGTTAGAAGTTTCTGTGGTGACCCGGAGTGTAACACAAACGTAACAAAATCCAAAACGTAAATAAATGTCCTTTAATGCCTCCAACTTGGCCCCACTGTTCAACAATACTCAGTTGGAGATAAAACTTAGTCAAAAATAGTTTTCAAAAGAAAGCAATACAGTCTGAACTTAATGAGCAGATAGAGGTGAAATAAAAAAAACCCAAAACAAACTACAATGAAGGAATTTCCACAACGGACCAGGATAAGTAATTACCAACTTCAAGGAGATAACAAGGCACAAAATGTTGGAAGGACGCCAGCCAAGATAACTTCAGCCCAAAATAAAACACGCTTTACTTCTAGCAACGCTGTGTTTTAACCGTCTCTATAATATACTATTCTCCCCAGCTGCAACCAATGAGGGGGATCATGGCCTCTTCCTCTCTCGTAAGCCAGGTTGTTTCCTTCTCCATCCTCACTGCGTGTCCTAGGATGAAGAGGGGATGGCCCTGGTTCTTCCTCTGACTGCCCAGCCGGCCTCTGCCCTTCCCTAGCCTCCTCCATAATCTCCAGAGCCACACCTCCACTCCCTGTTGGCTGTTCCTCAGAGTCCGACTCTAACAAGGGCATGACAGTTTCTCCTTAATTCCAGGTTGCTTCTCTCTTTGATTAGTTTCTGACCATTGTTTCTTGTCCTGCCCTCTGGTGATTTGGAGAATAATTTGATCCCCTCTTTTCTGTGGCAGCCCTTCAAATACTGGAATATTGTTATCATGTCACCCCTGGTCCTTCTTTTTTTTTTAGACTAGCCAAACCCAAATCCTGCAGCCATTTTTCATATGGTTTAATCTCTAGGTCTTTGATCCTCTTAGTCACTCTTCTCTGAACTTTTTCCAAAGTCTCAACATCTTTTTTGTAATATGGTGACCCAAATTGGTTGCAGCATTCCAGGTGTGGTCTTACTAGGGTTTTATAAAGCGCTACTAATACTTCACGTGACCTTGATTCTATGCCTCTGTTTATACAACCCATTTTAATACACTTGATAGCAAACATTGCTGCAAAAGGGCAAATTTACCAGTTGGGGAGCATTCCTCAGTGTTGCAAGACTCATATTGGACTCTTTGTCCCTCACAGTATTTGCCCGCATTTTGGGGCACTGGGCTGTCACAGTCTCTGTAAGAGAAATGGACCCCTCCACCACATGTCCTGGAACATGGCCCCCACGAGCTCCAGGGCCCCCAGTTTCCATCCACAGCAAGCTGCAAGACACAAATGGTTGGATTATGGTTTATTTGAGAAGCCACTGAGAGGCATGTCTTCTGGCCTGGAAAGATATTAAAGCAACAGGGA